CTGTCTTTAAAAAAAAAAAAAAGGATTTGGGATGGATAATGGGCACATCACCTCTTTGGAAAAGCTGGAGAAGGGATATTGTGAACATACTTTAAAAAATCCATGTGTATGTGTGGTGTGTGTGTGGGGGGGGGTGGAGTATGTGGGGGGTGGGGTACGGGGGTGGGGGTGCACATGTGGATATGTGATGTGGGTTCTAGGGACTGAACTCAGGTCATAGGGCCTCTGAGCAGTACGGTCCTTCAGCTGTTGAGCCTCCTTGTCAGCCCAAACACATGTTCTTTTCCAGTAGGTTAGTTCAGGAAAGGGGACACACAGGTGGGGATCAAATGCTGATGTCCCCAAAGCTCTCTGTAACTGAGCACTCCTCCCAGGGCATGTGAACCCCCAGTCTGGACCACTGGGTTAGAGGAAGAAAAGGACTTATCTGCCTTAAGAAAATATTGCCACCTAGTGGTGACTGCTCAAGTCATAGACACAAGGACCTAAAGGTTCCCTTGACCTTTGGAAGGACATCTGTGGGAAGGACGTTCGCAGTTCAGCTCCTTGTATCAAAACGCCCATCATTGAAATGATATGTAACTCACTGTGTCATCTACATCACGTTACTCAATAGTCCGAAAAAGTCCCCCAGGTCATGATGTTATTTCCACAGAAGAGGCTGAGGAGAACAAGAGAGGGTTAATTAATCCATAATTATGTTTTTATTTATTCATTAAAAATCCATTTATTAAGCATTCTTACACAACTAGCACTGTCCTAGGCTTCAAGCAGGGCTTGGGTTGTGGGTGAATTAAAAATGACTGAGACACCTGTTCTTAAATCAATCATAACTCAAGGGCACTGAATGAGGAAAGGTGGAATCAGGATTTTTGATCAAAACCACTAAAATGTGTCCCTATTCTTCCCATAGCTATGGGACAGTAAACACAAATGTAAAGGTGAGTGGGTGGCCCCTGAGTCCCTGAAGTGTCGGAGGTCAGTCATGGAGGAGGATGGTTTCCAAGCAAAATGACTCACTGGATGAAAATGCCAGCTGAAAGAAGAACTTGCTCCTCCCTCCCCTCCGAACCTGCTGCTTATGACCTGCCGTCGCTTGGAAAGCAGAGAAGGAACCTTCTTAAAAGGTATCTACCGTCGAAGTAAGTGGCCGCAATCCCAGCAGCTCCCCGGGGAGTTGGGGACGGCACAGTGAGGTACCTTGTGGTCTGAGCCGTGGCAGCTGAGTTAGCCGGTACGTCCTGCGAGGCAGAAGAGACAGTTGTGCTGTGGTGAGCAGAAGTCCCAGAAATGCTCTATCTCACCACAGCCAGCTTGCCTTCCCTCCTCCTTGAGCGGGACGCTGCAGAAATGAGGGGTGCTGCTGCAGAAATGAGGGGTGCTATGTGTTTGATTTTTGCCTTTTTGTTTCTTGCGCATCCCCTGTTCCTGCCTCACTCACGCTGCTATGGTAGCTCTCTGTGGCTCTCCTCTGCACGTGAATTCCTTCAGATTTCAACTCCAACTCCCCTCTTCCTTCCCCTCTCCCTCACCCATGCTATCTAGAAGCTCTTTGCTGATGTCCTGCAGACAGGCGTATCTCTAGCAGACCTGAAATTTCAGTGTTCAGTACTTCTAAATGACACTGTTAGGAGCTGGGCGTGGTGGCACATACTCATCCCAGCACTCAGAAGGAAGAGGCAGTGGATCTCTGTGAGTGTGAGGTCAGCTTGGTCTAGAGAGAGACTTCTAGACTAGCCATGGTTACATAGGAAGACCCTGCCTTAAAAAAAAAAAAAAAAAAAAAAAAAAAAAAAAAAAAAAACACCCACAAAACAACAGCAAACAAATCCCCACTCCATCCCTCTCCCTACTTGAGTGTGAGCTCCATGAGGACAGGTGTTGTTTTGTTTACTTATTGAATCAGACTTGCAATGAGGTAAGTGCTCGATAAATATTTGTGAATGAACTGAGTGGGAAACCCTCCCCCTGCCTCAGATGGCCATTCTTAATAAGCACAGCCATTCTGGCCCCGTTTTCCTAACCAGATTCCAGCCATTTCATTTGGCAGCTCATGAGGCAGGGCTGCTAGAGTCTTGGTTCCAGAAATGGAGGTCAAGCCACATGCCCAGGGGCTCCGCGTCTCTGGGACTGGAAGTAAGGTATGCATGAGGTGCACAAGGCTGGTACTTCTAACTGATGGGGCCAAGCTGAACATGCCTATAAGGGCTAGAGATGGACACAGCTCAGGAGAAAAATAGCTGCAGCAGATTGAAGCACCTCACACGAGTTGGCCGTGTAGTGGGACCTGAGAACTCAGAGCCATCCTTACAGAAGATGCTGGAGAACCAGCTTCTTTTCTAAACAGGGTCTCCATACACAGCCCTGGCTGTCCTGGAACTCACTACAGAGACCAGGCTGTCCTCAAATCCAGAGATCCAACTGCCTCTGCCTCCCAAGTGCTGGGACTGAAGGTGTGCATCACCACACCAGCATATCTTTTTTTTTTTTAAGAGATGCAGAAAAAATTTACACATGAAATAACAATGTCTGGAATTTACTTGAAGTTAATCCTGGCGGAGAGAGTAATTAGAAGATTAAAATGAAGGTGACTATGATGAAGACTGCCTGGTGTGCACATAGAAATTCATTGTATGAATGCTTACTTCGTGTGCTAAAAGTTTTCAGCGACAGGTCAGAATGAAAACACTAACAGAACAAGGAAAAGCAGTGTTTCTCCTGGTCTTCAATAGAGCAGACCCAAAGCTTATACCTGAATTTCAGGAGGCATGTTTACAGGAATGGAAAGCTGACGTTCAGTGGCTGAATCTTGACAGTTGGAGGCTTGTGAGAGAAGTCACCCCCTCTGACCGTGGGCAATTGCTCAGTACACAAGGAGCCCCAGGCTTTGTCCTGCTCCATCTCCATGATCTGCACCACAGAAACAGGCTAAAACAGTGGACTTCATCTAGTGTAGACTGCTCCTGTACAACTTGATTTCCAAGAAGAAATTTGGATTTAGGACAGTCTTTTTTACCCAGGCCTTAAAAATCAAAAAACAAAAAAACCTTTTGGCTCTAGTTCTATTGCTCTGAAAACAATGAGTAACAGAATTCCCGAGAGCAATTAGATTTTTATTGAATGGAGGCAGAGAATGCAATTATCCGGCACAGAGCAGTTGCTGTGCAGTGGAATTTTCTGCAGTGATGGAAGAGCTGTGTATCCACGGTGTTTGATGTGGCAGCCAATAACCACATATGGCTACTGACTTGAAATGTGTTAATGTGATTAAGGAACAGGATGCCTATAATCCCAGAGTTCAGTGGAGGCAGAAGACCCTGAGCCCAAGGCCAGCGTGAGCTTCTTGAGCCTCTGTTTCCAACTGACAGAAACATTTTAAGTTGCATTCACTTTTAATTTTTTTAAAATTGTTGTTGTTATTCAATTTGTTTTGAGACAGAGTCTCCCTATGTAGCTGTGGCTGCTCTGGAACTCATTATGTAGACCAGGCTAGCCTCAAACTCACAGAGATCCACCTGTCTCTGCCTCCTGAGTGCTGAGATTAAAGGCATTTGCCACCATGCCTGGCTTTTTCCACAATAATTTCTCTCTCTCTCTCTCTCTCTCTCTCTCTCTCTCTCTCTCTCTCTCTCTCATTCCCTCCCCTGTGGAGGCCCACAGAGGCTTCCTAGTAAGGCCTTACTCAAGGTCAGAAAGGCTGAGCTTGCTTTACCCAGCAGGGCTGCATAATGGGATGATTTGGCCAAGGGCGTGGTTACCAAGGTGTTTGGAAGGGTCTACACTTGGCTGTACGGTGTGCTTTGATCTCGATACTTTTGCCTCTCCCCATGGCAGTGTATAAAAAGCCCTTTGGAATAAACCTCGGAGCGACTGGGTATTGACCCAGGGCCCTCCCTAAGCTATCCTGTGTCTCTTTCTTATTGTCTCTCTCTATCTATCATTTCCTCATTCCTCTCTCCTCCCTCTAAGAACCCTTAGACAGGTCAGAGCTGGACTCGGGCAGACTCTGACACACACCCCTCTCTTCTCTCTCCCTCTCCACCCCCCCTCTCTGCACACACACACAGGCATTCATGTGTATGAGTGTGGAGGTGTACATGGCATGGCTCAGATAAGGGGGTCCGATGCTACTTTGTATGCTGGTCTTCACCTTCCATCATGTTGGAGACGAGGTCTTTTGAGCTTCCAGGGATTCACCTGCCGGCTTCCCCTGGCAGGGACTACAGATGTGTGCACTGTGTTCGTGGTTCTGGGGACTGGAACTCAGGTCTTTCTACTTGCATATCAAGTACCTCACCCACTGAGTCACCTCCCCAGCTCCAATTTCAGTAGATGTTCTTATTCCTGCTCCCCTTGCTCTATTTAAACAAATACATCCAACCCCTTCAGACAAAGCTTGCAAGGGTTTTCCCCATGTCCTAGGCAGCAGTTATTTGGTCCACGCCATCCCCTCCACCCACTTTTCTCACCTTCTTTGTCCCTCTGTTTCCTTCTTCTTGTGGAAGGCATGGAGTCAGGGCTTCATGCGTGCTGGACCATCACCCTACTGAACCAGATCTTACCTGTTTGTTTATTTTGTAGGTTTTTTTTTTTTTTTGAGACAAATTTTCACTTTGTAGCCCAGGCTGTCCTGGAACTCAATGTATAGCACAAGCTAACCTCAAATTTGCAGTGCTCCTCTGTCAGGCTCCTGAGTATTGGGATTATAGGCATGAGCCACGACTCCTGGCCAGTCACAAATGCCACAGGACTATTCTTTTGGTTTTGTTTTTTTGAGACAGAGACTGTCTTAGTCATTGTTCTATTGCTGTGAGGAGACACCATGACCAAGGCAACTCTTGTAAGAGAAAGCCTTCAGTTAGGGACTTGCTTACAGTTTCAGAGGTTTAGTCCATTGTCAGCATGGCAGGGAGCATGGTGGTGGCACACAGGCAGGCATGGTGGTGGAGAAGAAGTCGAGAGTTCTACATCCTGATCCACAAGCAGCAGGAAGAGAGACACTGGGCCTGGCCAAAGACCACCCCAAGTGACACACTTTCTCCCACAAAGCCACACCTCCTAACCCTTCCCAAGTAATGCCACTTCCTGGTGACTGAGCATTCAAATATATGTGGCTATGGGGGTTATTATTTAAACCACTGCAGTCTTGATCTGTAGCCCAGGCTAGCCTTAAACTCAGGACAACCCTCCTGTCTCATATGAGCCACTATGCCCTGTTTTCTAGATTTGTTCTTAAACTGAAGCTGGAGGGAAGCAGGAGCTGGTGCCCTCACCCTGCTTGGGAAACAGGAGCTGGTGCCCTCATCCTGGTTGGGAAGCAGGAGCTGGTGCCCTCATCCTGGTTGGGAAGAAGGAGCTGGTGCCCTCATCCTGGTTGGAAGCCACAAGCAGGTGAGTTTAGAGACCAATTGTCACCTGGGCAGGAGGTGAGGCTGAGAGAGGCTTCCCTGCAGAGACCGGAAGACGGAGGACAGGACATCTCGATGGCAATGTGTGCAAGAGAGACGCACGTTTCGCACTTAGTTTGTTAGATGACAAAGAAATAAAACCTTCAGCTCAGGCAGATGGAGAGAGAGCAGGAGAAACAGACGGAGCCTGAGTGGTGACGGTTATTCCGTCCTAGTGTGTGTAGATCGTAGTGAGAGACCAGGTTACCACCTCTTCCCTATGGGAGGCGTGGTTATTTGTGCCAATGCACTTTTTCCTGCGTTGTTTGGTTTGTGGGGCTGGGATCAAATGTAGGACTGGGTGAGTGCCAGGCTGGAGGTGTTCTGTAGCTCAGGCTTGGCTCTGCTGAAAGAATCCTTAAATAAACACACTTTTAAGAATGAACCATTAACTTAATACCAGAAGTGGGACAATGAATTGAATAATTAATAAATTACAATTTTACTTGGCATGGCAGCACATTCTTGAGGTCCTAGCACTCAGGAGTCTGAGGAAGAATTGCCGTGAATTCAAACCCAGCCTGGAATACATAGTGAGTTTTGGCCAGGCTAGGATTCATAGCCAAAAGAAAAAAAATAAATAAAAGAGAGAGGAAAATTAAAACACTAATAAAAAAATCTAAAACCCAAGGTCTGAGAGGATTTCTAAGGGCTCTCAGCAGGCTCTTGTAGACGGACACTCACCTTAATGAGATGCTCGGTGTGACTGTGGGTAGACTAGTCCCTCTTGGTGTTCCGGCTGCTTGCCCAGCCTCCCTTTCCTCTGTGAGAACCCCACATTGCACCCATTTGACACAAAAGCAGCATGGCCACCCCGCTGTGTTCCTCTGTGTTTCCTGTGTGCTCTGGACAGCCACAGGCAGGGCCACCTCAGGAGGGAAGCAGGGTAGGCAGGAATGGCTCACGGCTGTCCCCGTCACTGGCAAAGACAGGCAGTTCTCCAAATCTGACATCCAAGCATACTTCTTCTAAAATGTAAAAACTATTTCACTTTATTTCAAAAATCATGGAAGAGTTCCTTCCCTTCAACTCAGGTTCCTACTCCCAGGAGCCTAAATTAGGAGTTGATTAAGAGACAATCAAAGCTATAGCCTCCCAACCGGTCAATGGTGTTAAATTCCATACCAACGAAGGGGAAAACTCAAACTGAGTACTTCGTAGTTGGGAAACGGTTAGTAGATTGTGGTATATTCATATTTTAGGGTTATTAAACACAGCCATTGTGTCACCTGTGAAAACACAAAGTAACGATGGTAAAACAGCACAATACAAACTATTTGCCATTGTGTATTTCATCTTGGGGTGCGGGTGGCTCATAAAACTCAGGAAACTGACCACTCAGGGATCTGGGAAAGTTCGTGAGTTAGGAGCCTCCCCCCCCCCCATCCCTGCGTTCTGTAAGCACGCACATCGCTGGTGGGAGACTCTTTGGTGGAACTGCCTGCATGTCGGGTACGGAGTAGAGGGTTGTGGCTTTCTCCAGCTGCCAGCCACGTTAGTGACGAGAACAGGAGGGGCCCTGGCTGTGACTAGAGAGACAGGCTGGGACGGAAGCCTCAGCCACACACACACACACACACACACACACACACACACGCACCTGTCAGCAGCAGCAGAAGTAGTTCAAAAAGTTTACACACACACACACACACACACACACACACACACACACACACACAAGCACACGCACACGCACGCACGCACACACTTACACTGTCCCAGTACAAACCGTTTTGTCCTTCTGACCCCCAGTGCTCTCTCCCCCACTATGTGGCTTCAAGGGAACAGAGCCCCCAGCCTGGACCCAACTCTTCGGTCAGGCATCCACCCCCCCTCTGGTTTCCCAGACTCTCCCCTGACTGGGTCCCTCTTTCACCTCATTTATTTGCTTACCAGCTCTAGCCAATCAGGGCCCACATAGCCCTTTGGGTTTTCTCAGGGGGCTCCAGCGGCTCCCTGTTCTCAGAGGAGGACTGCCTCTGAACCCGCTGTTCCAGCGGGGAACTTGGTCCTGCCTCAAAGTAAAACTCACCATCCAGCCTGGGTCAGAGACCGAAGAGCGTCTTCTCCCATAGGGACTTAACTCTCAGCCCGACTCGTCCTTCAGAGCCACGGCACCCACCGACAGTTCTTCTTGTGGCAGCTCGGCGTTCTCTCGGTTGGCGTTCTGAGAGCTCGGAGCCTCTGGAATTGCCGTCCTCTGTGAACAAGACCCTTTCTTAATGCTTGTGGGGTGGCTCATCAGGTAAATGTACCGGCAGCCAGCTGACAACCTGACTTCAACTTCCGGGACCGACCGTGTGGTGGAAGGGGAAGACTGACTCCCAGAAGGGGAGGACTGACTGACTCCCAGAAGGGGAGGACTGACTCCCAGAAGTCCCCTGACCTCCACCCATGGACTGGGGTACGCATGTGTGCACACACATAAACACAGCACATTTTAAAAAAACACAACTCTTTCTGTGTGCACACACACACAAACACAGCACATTAAAAAAAAAAAAAAACACAACTCTTCACTGCTCACTTCATTCGTGGAGTGGGGAGCAAGACAAGAACCCAACATGAGATCTGGCTGTCTCAGTGACGTGGGCTTCCCCATGCCGACAGCTGCCTTTGAATCAGCCATGCTTCTGTAAGTGACCCCTCACTCCTACATCTGTCAGCAACCCCAGTGATCTCATTGGTTCCTGGAGGAGACTCGGGGGACATTGCTTCTTTAGTCTAACATCGGTGCCCTACTGTGTTGAATAGATGCTCACGTTACCCAGGAAAGGCCGTAACACGCCAGTCAGCACAAACCACAAACAGGCCCACAGAATCCAGATAACAAGGAAGACGGAGTCAGTTTGACAGGACAGCAGGGTGCCGGCTTGAACTGGCTTATACAAACAGGTGAGAATATGGCTGCAGCTGTAGCTCAGTGATGGCGTGCTTATCTAGCATGTGACATCCTTGAATGTGTGTAGATGTAACCAACCGTCTTATTAAATAAGAAACACAGAAACAATGTAAAAGAGAAAGCCGAGAAGTCAGAGCTCAGAGCTAAAATCTCACCCTTCCTCCTGCTGTCCCAGCTTCGCGAAAAGAGACCTACTTCCTGTCGGTTCGTATTTTTAAAGTATGTTGTTCTGCCTTCTCATTGGTTGTAAACCCAAACACATGACTGCCTCGTCACTGTCTGAATGTACAGCCCCCTAGGTCTTAAAGGCATATGTCTCCAATGCTGGCTGTATCCCTGAACACACAGAGATCTTATGGGATTAAAGGCGTGTGCCACCACCGCCACACTCTTGCTATGGCTCTAATAGCTCTGACCCTGAACACACAGATATCTATGGGATTAAAGGCGTGTGCCACCACCGCCACACTCTTGCTATGGCTCTAATAGCTCTGACTCCCAGACAACTTTATTTATTAACATACAATCAAAATAATAATTCAGTACAATTAGATTATCACCACAAATGTGATCCCCCAACACTGAACTAACACCCACAGGAGAAAAAGCATTGGCTCAAATAACCACGCCTCCAACAGGGAAGAGGTGGTAGTGCCTTTAGAGATGTCTCCAAAGAGAGACATATTGCCATCAAGATGTCCTGTCCTCTGCCTTCCGGTCTCTGCACGGAAGCCTCTCTCGTCCTTACCTCCTCCCAAGGTGACAATTGGTTTCTAAACTCATCGACTTGTAGCTTCCAACCAGGATGAGCGTACCAGCTTCCTTCTGGCTTCAAGTTAAGAATAATTCCAGGGAAAGGGTATAACTGACCTGAAGTGGGTCACGCGCTCATCTTTGGACCACCAGTAGCCAAGCCATGAGGCTTGGTTGTAGCTGGAGAGTTTTCTCTCCAAGTCCTGCCAAGCCCCGGCAGTCCGATAGCCCACTTATAAAATAAACACACAGACGCTTATAGTATCTAAACTATTTGGCCTAATGGCTCAGGCTTCTAGCTATCTAGTTCTTACATCTTAAATTAATCCATTTCTATAAATTTATACCTTGCCACGTGGCTCATGGCTTACTGGCATCTTCACATGCTGCTTATCATGGCGGCGGCTGGGAGTGTCTCCTTCTGCCTTCCTGTTCTCTCAATTCTCCTCTCTGTTAGTCCCGCCTATACTTCCTGCCTGGCTACTGGCCAATCAGTGTTTTATTTATTGACCAGTCAGAGCAACACATTTGACATACAGACCATCCCACAGCACTTGGTACCCATCCTTCAACCAATCAAAGGATCTCAGCCAATTAAAAGGACAGTTGGAACTGACAAAATGGTTCTGTGGGAAAAGGTTCCTCTACCAAGCCCGATGATTGAGTTCAATCCTTGAGATCCACATGGTGGGAGGAGAGAACTGAGTCCCATCAGTTGTCCTCAGACCTTCACACCACTATGGTAAACACGTGTAGTCGAAAGTTTTCGCTGGTCCTGCCCCACCCCATGATCCCGCAGTCCCTTATAAAATAATCACTCAGAGGCTTGATATTATTTACAAACTGTATGGCCTATGGTAGGCCTCTTGCTAGCTAGCTCTTATATCTTAAATTAACCCATTTCTATTCATCTATGTTTTGCCATGTGTTCCGTGGCTTTACTGGTCTGCTGGCATGTTGCTCCTTGGATGGCGGGCTGGTGTCTCTCCAGACTCTGCCTTTCTCTTTCCTGTCTTTCTCCTTGGGTTTCCTGCCTGCCTCTAAGCTGCCTTGCCATAGGCCAAAGCAGCTTATTTATTAACCAATGGAAACAACATATACTCACTGCATACAGAAAGACATCACACAGCAGACATGCAAACATGTAAACACACACACACACACACACACACACACACATACACACACTATCACTATTTCAACAGGAGAAACCTATATTCATTATACTCTCTACAAGCTTTCTGAGCAGAGGTCTGTGTCCTGTACAATAGCATCCAAAACAGTACCTGGCACAGAGTAGCACAAAACAAATACATGTTAACCGAATAGCCACATGAATTAACACAGCAAAAGCCATTATGTTAATTGTGTTTCTTCTTTATTCATTTATTTTTGGTTTTTCAAGACAGGGTTTCTCTGTGTAGTCTGTCTGTCCTGGATCTCGCTCTGTAGACCTGGCTGGCCTCGAACTCATAGAGATCCACCTGGCTCTGCCTCCCGAGTGCTGGGATTAAAGGCGTGTGCCACCACCACTCAGCCTTCTTTATTTCTTAAACAGAATCTCGCTCTTTTGCCCAGGCTGGCCTCAAACTAAAAAAATCTCCTGCCTCTTGACTGTTAGGGTTACAGGTGTACACCACCATGCCTGACCTGTGTTAGGGTTACAAGTGTACACCACCATCCTGACCTGTTTATTCTGTAAACAGTATTGTTGTGTGTATGATGTTTGGGTGGATGTGTGCCATGATTTTCATACAGAGGCTTGAGGACAACTTTGGGTATCAAGGTCAAGTCCTTGGACCTATTCAACAAGTGCCCTTCCTTGACAAGTCATCTCAACAGCCCTGGCGTGTGCTTTTAAATTGACTCAGTGGTGAACCCCTTCTCTGAATTGAAGCAAACCTTCAAAGGGACGCCCCTGGGACTCAGATCCACGTATTCTGGGCTGAGTGTGAGGCCCTGTGTGCTTCTCGAAGCACCTTCAGCATTAGCCGGAAGAGCTGCTGCACCCACTGGAACGGTGGGGAGGGACTCCATAGACTGATGACTCACGTTGATGAACCTAACAGCCTAATAACGTTAGGCTCTTAATAAGGACAGCCTACTAATCCATAGAGACTTAACTGTCCTTGTTAGTGTCCTCTTGAAAACTCTTCCTTGTGTATGCACATCATCAAATGGCTTTAGAAACCGAGTGAGATAGCATACCTGATATCCAGCACGCAGGAGGTTGAGACAGGAGGCTCAAAAAGTCTAGGCCAAAATGAATGGAAACACATGAACTATGAACCAAAGGCTGAGGGGCTCCCAGCTGGATCAGGCCCTCTGAATAGGTGAGACAGTTGATTGGCTTGATCAG